CATCTCTCTCCCGAGGAAGCCGACGAATGGGTAAAAGGCCGCTACCAAATTGTCAACGTCTGGCGACCTATCGAAAATCCTGCTTCGGACCATCCCCTCGCCATGATAGACTGGAGAACAACATCAACATCCGACTTTGTTGCCACAAATCTCCTATACCCTAAGCGCGCCGACTCAATGGACGTCGACGACCGGGGTAAGGAAGTCCTTCCCGACCCAAACAACCATACTTCTACAGAGGGCTACGAGGTCAAGGGCGAAACTATGTCGGTGGCAGCGAACGACCAGCACAAGTTCTACTACCAGAAGGATATGACACCCGAAGAAGTCATTTTGCTCAAGTGCTATGATAGTTTTGGAGAGGGCATGTCTCACGGCAAGAAGGGTGTGGCTGTTAGAACACCGCACACTGCTTTTGCGGATCCGAATACGCCCGAGGATGCACCGGGTCGGCAGAGTATTGAGGTTAGATGTTTGGTGTTCTATGATTAGGGCAGCTGTGTCGAAAGGAAGGCAATCTAGCTGTTTGAAAGTCATCACACGCATGTAGTTGTGGAGTAGTATGTCTTCAAGTTTGTATCTAATTAGTCTATCTAAGCGAATCTATAACCGCAACCACACCAGACTTTGGTATCGTAAGATCAGAAAAGGCGTACAAACGGTCTATCGCGAAGACAATCATGAGAACAGTTCTTTAGGCCTTGGTATGGGCTTCGACGCGTGCTTCGGTAGATTCCAACTCAAACGAGTCGGTATCCTGGGGCCTCCAGAACTTCTTGTCGCCCTTCATGGCGCGGATGAACCAAGGTTGAGCGCGTGGCGAGTCTGAGCGGACTGGAATGAGAATGTTAGCGCAGCTTTTGGGAAGGAATCAGTACATGGAGAGACTTACAGCTCCAGTATTCTTTGTTGTCATAGTCGGGTGGAAGCAGGCGCCCGCCTGAGATGGCACCGAGAGCCCATGTTGTAGTATTTATGATAGCGTAGCACATGATTCCAGCGATGAGACCGTATGCGATTGAGTAGGAGAAAGGCATGAACATGAGTGTAACGAACGCGGGGATAGAATCGCCTGGATAGTTCCAGTTGATGGCTAAGACTCCGCGCATCATCATGCAGCCGACCAAGATGAGTGCTCCACCTGTTGCCCAAGGCGGGATGGAGGCAAAAATGGGTGCGAAAAAGAGGGAGATGAAGAAGCAGATGCCCGTGGTGATTGCTGTGAGGCCTGTGCGGCCGCCTTCTTGGATACCAGCCTGTAGATATTAGTATGGAGGAAACTCAAAGCAGTCAAATATGGTACTTACACCAGACTCGACGAAAGCGGTGACAGGCGAAGATCCAAAGAGGGAACCGATGGAGATAGCGATAGCGTCCGCTGAGTACGCAATAGTCGAACGGGGGAAGTCGCCCGTGTCAGGATCGACAACGCCCGAGAAGCGAGCCATGGAGTACAAAGTACCCGTCGCGTCCAAGATATCGACGTAAAGCATAGTGAAGACAGCCAGAGCAAACTGCCCGCCCACGTTAGACAGATCCCAATCCTGTGCCAACAAAGTGTGTTTGATAGGATGGAAAGCGACAATGTTCTTGAAGAACTCGAAACGGCTGTCACCAACTGTTGTGCGTGGGAAGTAGGTGATTGAAGTGTCGCGAGGCCAGCAGAAAATCGAGACCAGTGCGATACCAAAGATCATTGAGCCACGGATTTTGTATGTCATTAGCAGGGCAGTGAAGACACCACCCACGAGGAAGCCGAGCCACATGGTCGGGTTGGTGGCTTTGTGTGAGAGACAGGAGCCAGTATCCGGGTCGAGGTATTCTGTGGGGCAACCTCCAAGGTCAAGTGGCGTGGCTTTAGCTCCTGTAATGGCACCGATACCAGCAGAGTATGAAAGTCCGATCAGTGTCAAGAAGAGACCGATTCCCGCACCACACGCGACTTTGATGCTAGCGGGAATGATGCGGGCCAACCATTGGCGAATACCAGCGAGGGAGAGCGCAACGAAGATGAAGCCTTCGACGAAGACAGCGGTCATTGCGACACGGTAATCGATGGGACCTGTGCCGTGGAATCCCACAATCTGATATGCCAGATACGCGTTAAGACCCATAGCCGGTGCGAGCGCGACTGGAAGGTTTGCAAGGAGGCCCATGAGGAACGAGCCGAGCGCTGCGATGGCGGCGGTAGCAGTAACGAAGTCGCGGTTGATTTCGAGGAGGCAAAGGGAGTACGCTTCATCGTTGATACATGTTGGGTCGACAGGGTCGTTGCAGACACATGTCGCACCAGAGTCTGTGAGGACGGATGCCTACAAGTGGTGGCTCCGTTAGCACACGTACCACTTTGACAGCATGGGTGACTTACGTTGACAGCGATAATGTATGCCATGGTGAAGAAGGTCGTCAATCCAGCCCGTAGCTCTGTCGTAAACCGCGCATTCTTGATCTCATTGGGCTTCGATGGTCAGTATTGCGTGCTATGTTGGAAATGCAAGAACGACTTACATGCCCTGATCCGTCAAGATGAAAATATCTGCCCACGAATGAAGCGGAAACCACATCATTGAGAGCAGCTTTGTTTCGTTCAATGAAACCCATTTTGAGAGACCGAAAGCAAAACAACGGGTATGATAGAATGGTGTAGCACTACGAGACCATCGACACCCCAGGTAACGACGGAGATCAATCCCCAGATATACCTGCCGTACTCAAAGAGGAAGATACGGAGACTACACCTACCTAGGTAGTGCAGGGGATGGAGCGTAGCAGGCTCGCTCGCGTCATGCAGGTGCCCGCAACGATCCCGTAATGAGTTCGCGGTAAGCCACATAAGGCATCCGTGATCGGAGATGGATTCTCGTTAAGCGAATGTGGAAGACACTATATGCCTAAAAATCTGCCGCTCCGTTATGGCAGGTCGAACGGCTAGGTGTGTTGCTGTTTCATCTTCTCATCCAAGCCGTCCCTCGGTGGGATGCAACCGCGCATACGCCACTGAAGAACCGTCCGCCTTGGCTATGTCACCTCCACTAAAATGTGGTCGTCGGATTCCGGGTTGTGGGCCGCACTGAGTAATCCACTGGCATTAGCACAGTATATAGATCACTTGAACTGAGCCAGGAAGCGAAAACGAGTCAAGCAATCGATAGATACGTGGTAGTGACGTGGTGTGCCATGTACGTGTATGCTTTGCACCACCTCCTTCAACATCTCAGCGGTATTAATCCCATAGCTGCCGAGGCTGACTGTGTGCGGTGCGTGTCGCAAACAAGTCTAGTCGTTACGAAGTTGCGGTCTTGAAGTCTAAAGGGTCGAAGACCGATGGCGCATCGGCAGAGGAATCTGACTTGGTTACTGGACATCAGGAACGAAAGGTACCTGACTGTCGGGTCTTCCAAGAAGTTCTAACGAGTCGCAGAAGTCCCAACGATGGCTTTGACGTGCTCGATCCAATGGCTGCTGTGCCGCTTCCCGGGGCTTTCATGAAGGGGGAAGGTAAGCGGTCATCTAGCAGACGCTAAAAGTGGCTGGTGGCGCACATGTGATAAAACCGTCTTCATGTACCTACCTAGGTACGTGTCGGTGCTGGATAGGCGGTAAGGGGTGACATGCTTGCGCGAGTGTGTTGTCGCAATTTGCAGGAGGAGGGAAGATCTTGATACTGTCATCGTCCAGTACCCCTCTGGTTTGGGTTGTCAGTTCCGAAAGTGTGGGTTGGGGAAGGTCACTTGCGCTGATCATCATCTGCCCTGTTATCGATGGGGACTTCCGCACTAGTTTCGGCGCTATTCTCGGTGGGAACCGGGCGCCCTGGTGTCGCTGGTCTGTAAGGCCACCAACCACCGCTGACTTGGAACACCCAACACCAAACTGCAATCATTACGCTAAAAACGCTAGCCGGCTCAGTTGGCGAGATTGAGACTATTTCCCGCGAACGGGCTGGCCTAACAGGTGGTACGTGTTGTGACATGCCGAAACGATGAACTATTATCGAGCGAAGATCCCCGCCTGGAAGGCGATGAGGGCACCGTATCGAGATAGTCGACATGTTTCCAACATTTGATGTTCCTCCTCAACATGCCGAGACAGTAGGAGCTCGCAAAGCAAGAAGAGCAAAGGAAGACGATACGACCAGACGGTCTTTCTCGGCAACCTCGCAGTCATCCGGGAGCACGCACAGCAGCAAACGTCAAGATGCAACGAGCTCTTCAGACTCAAGATCAGGAGGAAAGAGTGGTCTCGGCGGTTGGTTCAGCAAGAATAATAAAAAGGGCATCCAGGAGATCGCTCCGCTGTCGACATGTAAGGAGACACAACGTCCAAAAGAGCTGGCGATGAAGCCAGAGTCTGAACTCGGACTTGACCAAGGACCGGCACCACCCACTGCTCCTCTAGATACACAACATCAAGTATCTCAGAGGCCGCCGTCCCAGCGTTCTGATCAAACATCTCGAAAACTCCAGCCGCCACGCTTTCCACCCCCGCTGCCATCTCCTCCTCCGTCTGGTGCACTGCCTCCCACGCCAGGGATGCTTAGCCCTGTCAGTATACCAGGTACGTACAAATCGTCTTCTTGATACCTAAACATGAGGTTTCGACTACCATGACTGCGTATGTAGTCTCCTGGAGTATACATGTACGAGCCGTGATCTTACGCGAACAGCATGCTTACACACGCTGCAGATAGGAAGTCACAGTACTCCACTATTTCTCGCGCTTCATCCAACCCATCTAGCGTCACACACTCAAACCACAGTGTCTTTTCGGGCGCTTCGGGGTACGAGACTGCTCTCTCGGACGATGCTTTTGATGACCCTCGCCCTTCTAAGCCTTCATTCAGGCCTCTGCCGGTTTCCCAACCACCTTATTTCGAACCAGTCGAGCGCGATTCGCGAACTGGCAGTACACATAGCGGTGAACGCGTCCAAAGTGTCAAAGCAGCTCAAACGCCGTTCACACGGGCACTGGCGAAGATGGAGAATGCTGGTACTCGCATCATGTCCGCTCGATTAAGCGAAGAGTGGGACGGCTTGGACGATGACGAGAGCTTCCAAGAGATTATGTTCGAGCAACGGCTATGGGCACTAACTGCCTATCAACGATTGACGCAGAACAAACCCCTGCAGTCACCTGCGCATGAGTTACTGAGTAATAGTCAACCAGCAGATCAGAGGAGGGTACTCCAAATACATGGTTCTCTAGGTATGTCTGTCCTGCAGCTTTGCCTCGCTCGAAACATGCATTGATGCTGACTACCGCAGCGGATGGATGGATGCTAGCACACCATTACCCTGCAGTGACAGTATATACGCTCTCTACCACCAAGACTCAGCCAGCCACCACGTACCCTGCGCCTCTCAACCATCATACACTATACATTCCTTCACTTGCATCTCCAACGCCGTTTCCCGATAACTACTTCGACGCCGTTATCTCGCGTTCTGTCGCGACAGTTCTTCGAAACGACGATTGGGCTCGATCATTCTTCGACTGCATGCGTGTGCTCAAGCCCGGTGGACAAATCGAAATACTCTCAGTGGATGCGCACATGAGCTGCGAAGGGCCCAAGTTATCATCATGGGTTGATGAGCATCTTTCCTGTCGGCTGGAAGCTCACGGCGTGAGCAAGCAGGCTTCAGACACTGTCCTCGACACAATGGAGATTGTAGGCTTCGATAACATTCGTCGCGCTCGCATCGCGCTTCCAGCGCATCCACCCAAGGTGGCACCTAAAGTGGCGCCATCTGCATCACATACTTTTGGTGCTGCGATCCCGGCTCCCACACCTCAAGATACTCTAGATACGACGAAGATGATGGCTTTCCTTGGCCGCCATTTCTATCAGGATCTTTACAGCAGGTTTATAGATGTCAGACAGGGAGATGAGTGGTTCTGGTCGGATAAGGAGATGCGGGCGGAATGTGATCTCTACAAGACAAAGACGGTACTGACAATTGCCTGTGGGCAAAAGTCTACAAGTATGTGTCATACCGGAAGTTATCTAGATGACTAGATCGTGTCCAACCCATTCTTTGATCAGATCAAGTATAGGGAAATCGCGTTTCATTGTCTCCTAGATGCTGTTGTCATTTGCTGTCGGTTTATAAGTGGAGGTTGCTGCGGCTGAGGATGTCGCGAACCAGGCCACCGCTAAGCGGTTCTATCCATCACTCGTTCCACACTCATGATTCAACAAGGCTTAGGCTTAGATATACGAATATACGAAGTGAACATGACATATGCGCATAATTGAGGCAAGCGAGCTAGAACAAGAATGGTTGCGCCTGCACATGCGGAAGGTACCAGGTTCTCATTCCTTCCCGTGCCTGCTTTCACATGACCCACTTATTCAGGCACAAACACACTTACCTCCGTGGATACTGCTTACTTTAACCCCAATCTCTCCGACTACTACCGCGCCGACCGTTGACTCAACTCGACTAATTAATAATCGCCCTCATCAACCATCTCCAACCCACGATAGACACGCATTCTTACCCTGCAATGACTACTTCCCAAATCGGTCATGGCCAGATTGGCAAGATTATCGAAGTTATGTGGAATACATTCAAAATCTGAGAGTGAGAGTAATACTGACGATCGTGTAGATATGGAAGAACTCCTACCTTCGGAAACCATCGATAGGGCAGACTATCGGCGATGTCGCACAACCTACGGCCTTTTATCCACGGCATACAAGCGCACGACCCATTCTGACGAACCAGAGAAGGATTACAAAGAGTTGCAGAAACTTGAGAAGACTTTACGTGACCGTCTATCAAACCTTGACCCTGCCAGAGGTCTTCCACGCAAATTCCAGAGTCCGCTCGACAATCTCAAAGCAGGCATCGACGGTGCTCTCGATATGGGAGTAACAGTCGAATTCCTCATTGAAGGTCTCAAAGATATCTTGAACGAGAAACCAGATGCTACGCCTGCGCCAAAGGTCGAGCCGAATAGACTAGTACCTGAGAAGCGCCTTCAAAGGTATCTAGAGGAGCTTCGCATCGAGAAGGACAAGAACCGCAAACTCAACGAAGAGAACAACCGCCTCATCCTAGAGCTCAAGCAATACAAGATGCGAGAGGACGCGACCCCCAGTTGGCCGCCTCTCAGTGAGCCGCCTCTCAAAAAACGTCGCGTTGACTAGAATACTGATGATTCAGCCTAGAGTAATAGACACGGGGCAGACCTCTAATTAGGTGTCGAATGAGTCAAAAGTTTTGTACGTCTAGTGACGAGTATGCCATCCATGTTATAGCTTGCTGACAGGGAGCTCAGGTCAGGTTAAATCGTCGCTGGTAGGGAGGACAAGGAACCGGGGCAGAGTTGGGTCATGCGCAGTGTAGGGAAGCATCTTGTCATAGCCCTGTTGCTTGTGCAGGCAGGTGGTCTGTATGACGACTACCTGATGAGGTTTGGCTTGCAACGACTTGGCTATCAAATGCTTAAATCATTTCATCGCATTGCAACGTTCGTGATGGCAACACTGATGTTCCTTTTGCTGCAGCTGTGGCGGGCAGCGAATGACGTATGACGTAGCCCTGAAGTGGGGCTTCGAGAAAAGGTTTAGCGCCTACCGCTCGACGCGACGCGTCTTGTCTGAACCCTGTTGGGATGCCAGACACCTGCAGAACGATACGTCTCCTTTGTGCGAGCCAAGATGCCTCGGGCTAAACGAACCGCGTCCGCATCGCAATCCTCGCCTCCGAGCAAGCGCGTAGCCAATGACGCTGCGCAACACGAATCTTCACACCCGCTAGGGTCACGACACGCCCCGGTGGAGCTAGACTCGAGCCCGGAAGCGGAAGCCAGCACGCACACAGAGCCAGCGGGACCTATCAACCCGCCCGCCCAAGCTGAGCCTCCTCTAAGCAAAGAGCAACAACGAGTTGTTGATCTTATCGTAGACGGCCACAATGTATTCTATACAGGATCCGCCGGCTGCGGCAAGTCGACCATTTTGCGGGCCTTTGTCAAGGAACTGAAGTCACTCGGCAAGGTCGTCCGTATCTGTGCGCCGACAAACCTCGCCGCTTTGAACGTCGGTGGCTTCACGCTTTGGTACGAGGTAAAGCCCTATGTCTCTGGACATCTGATTGACGTCTAGTTAGGTCTTACGCTGGCTGGATAGTGCCCGACGTCAACAAAGACTTGGACACATTGAGAAGAGATGCTCACAGGAAGCAAGTCTGGAACAGGATGAACAAGACGGACGTCCTCGTCATTGACGAGATCAGCATGGTCGAGAACAACTTCTTCACTCGGCTCAACGAAGTACTGAAGGCGGCACGAGGTTCGAGCCAACCTTTCGGTGGCGTTCAACTTGTGGTTACAGGAGACGTAAGTGTAGTAGCGACTTTGAGACATGCAAAGACTAACGCAATACCAGTTCTGCCAACTCGCTCCAGTGAAGCCTTTCCAGAACTGTTTCAACTGTGGAAAATCTTTGAGAGTGGACGATTATGATGACCAATATCACTGCGATACCCGGAGTTGTCTGGAAAACCTCTTCCATGACGTTGACAAATGGGCATTTCGTAGTAGCGCATGGCAGGTAAATTTGAGCCTTTTGCCCATCAGATAGGGACCATCTATTGACTATCACAGGAGTGCAGATTCGTAAATGTCAATTTGACCAAGATCTTTCGACAAAGCGATCGCAAGTTCGTCGAAATGCTGCAGTCAATCAGAAGAAGTAAACAAGTCCAGAGCCATGATGCAACTCTTGCGCTGACAAGTTACAGATGTAGACATACCTGAGGATGATGCGTACGAGCTTCTGAACCATGAATGCTCAACAGAAGGCGCAGTGGAAATATACCCACATAGAGCAGACGTTCTTCGCATCAACAACAAGTGCATCAATGCGCTCCCATCTCAACCTTGGCGCTTCGCTTGCAAAGACTACTTCAACTGGAAACCAGAGCACAAAAAGGCGAATCCAGAGTTCAAGAAATACAATTTCAGAAACAAGGATGGTACCCTGAAAGAGCTGGTGAGTCGCCACTTGTCGCATACATAGACATCCTACTGATCTTCCCTCCGCAGGATCAACACAGGTATGAATCAGTCTTGCAATTCAAAAAAGACATGCGAGTTGTATTGCAGCATAATCTGGATCCTGAGGCTGGTCTGGTCAACGGGTCACAGGGCGTCATCATAGAATTCGAGGCATATGACGAGCGAAAGCTGCCCCGGGCCCGTAAGGAAAGTGAAGAACGTGGAAGCGATGGGCCAATTCTCGCCGGGTCACACGCCACGTACGAGCACCATGAGATCCGGAGATACGCCGAAGAAAACAATTACCAGCCTTGGCCGGTAGTCAAATTCGATGACGGCCAGACAAGAACGATTTTCCCGAACTGTTCGAGCCTCGAGCTGGGCGACACTACGCCCTATAGTCTCTTGTCCAGGACTCAAATCCCTCTGATGGCAGGCTATGCTATTACCGTCCACAAGGCTCAGGGCATGACAATGGACAAGGTCAAGGTCAACCTGCAGAAGGCTTTCGATCCAAGCCAAGTATATGTTGCTTGTACGTCAAACCATATCTACCCCAGTGATACCAAGCTAACAGCGAACACAGTGAGTCGAGCGAGATCATTGCACGGTCTGGAAGTTACGGCTCTTCCGAAGAAGCATTTTGGTGGTCAAGCGCCAGAGGTGAAGGAATTCATGGATTCCTTTTCTTGATGTGACCTATTTGATTGGGGTCAGATATATCGCTCAATTCTCGAAGCGTATGCGGTACTCAGACTCTGCGAAGTAGCGACTAGCAACAGCATTCGCAGTCTTGATACTGTTTTACGCTTCGCTAGCAAACAACAAATCTCGTAACTCTTGCCTTATCTTCAAACTTCTAAGCTCGCATGTGATATACGTCTGCTGTGCGTATCTGTGCAAGACCGTTTGTATAACATGATCACCTCATACAAGGCAAAGTTGAACAGTTCTGCAGACTACACTTGGATGAGACGAGCAAAACAGAACAATTGGTAGTAATGTAAGCTCCATGGTGTTCAATCTTTTCTTCGTTGAGGTGCAGTCACTACAGAAAAAGAAAGAGACTTGGCTACTCTGAGCAGCGGAGGCGAGGCTATGATCTTGGAGCTAAGAAGGTTGGCAGCGCAAGACCATCTCAAGATAAGAAAGCTTCATCGGTGAGGTGCGCATGATGAGAAAGCAGCCAAGGGGCAACACTTCTTCGTCCAGTTCCAGGTGGGAAGAAGCCGGAGCATTAACAATCAGGCTAATCTACGAGTCGTTGGTATCCGCGAACTATCTCACAGCAGCCATGGCCTTCACGACATGGCACAGACTTTGGAAGAAGGGGTATATTAACATTTAAGATCACCTATATGAAAGGCGAACATGATGTATCAGTCGACAATGGAAAATTTCATCGACTGATAGTCAAACAGCGACACTTGCACGATCCATAGACCGTACACTAAACTCATGCAAAGACAAGCTTAGAAGATGCGGTTCAAGAAACGCTTCCATGCGGGCCATGTGGCGATCTCGGCACGCTCCGCGTTGATGAGGTCCCAGTCGAGCTCACGACGGCCAGTGTCAACGTCCATCTGGGCAGTTCGGAGCCATCCCTCGCGCTTCCAGAAGTATCCGGCAATCCAGAAAGCAGCAACGACGAAGATAGCGAGGTATGCCTGGAAGAAGTCGGTGGCAGTACCAAGCCTCTTTCCGATAGGGGAGACAGCAGTGTAGAACTGATGATCATGTTAGCAGAATGCACTACAGAAGCGATCGGAGGAAGTCTTACCTGTGCCATCAAGACGATGACGATAATGGCAATACCGATCCACGAGCCAATGACACCACCAGCGGCCTTGAACGGAATCTCATCCAGGGTGTGTCCGTGGTAAGCCCAAGCCTTGCGGAAGCGAATATGGGCAAGGCAGATGGAGCCCCAGGTGAAGAGAGCGGCAAGTCCAGACAGAGAGACGAACCAGTTGAAGATAACTTCACCGGTTGAGGCCAAGTTCATGTAGGCGAGGGGACCCCACAAAAGAATGAAGGCAACAGACCAGAGAGGACGTCCGGCACGGTCGACGTAGGTGAAGAGCTTAGGAGCGTAACCCTGGTCAGCGAGGGCGGTGAGGGTACGCGAACCACCGTATACACCAGAGACACCGATGGAGACAACGGAGACCATAATGACAACGTTCATGAAGCTGTCGAATCCAATCAGACCAGCGTTCTTGCCAGCAATGACGAAGGGCGAGGCGTTGGCGTCACCGGAGGAGTTACCGATGAGACGCTCGTCAGTGTGCTCGACGAGCAGACCAACGAAGGTGAGACCAAGGATGTAAAACAGGGTGATTCGCCAGAAGACCTGACGGATAGCACCGGGAAGGGACTTCAGAGGGTTCTTAGTCTCAGCGGCAGCGAGACCGACCAGTTCAGTTCCGGAGAAGGAGAAAGCTGCGGTAACGAAGACGGTGCAGAATCCCTTGAAGCCGTTGGCGAAGGCACCAGGGCTGTACCAGGTACGCGCTCCCCAGTATTCAGAGTACATGCCGTTGCTGGGTCCTCCACCGAGAACCAAGACCAAGGCGATGATCATGAAAACGACGGTTGCACCAAGCTTGATACACGACGACCAGAATTCTTCCTCGGCGTATCCCAGGGTACCCCAAATGTTGATGAAACAAATGAATAGCCAGAAAGCCGTGATGAAGACAGCGACGTTGACTCCCTTGGCCCCATCCCAATATTGGACTGTGAAACCGGCGACGAGAAGTTCAAGTGGTAAGACGATGGCCCATTGGAAGACGTAGTTCCAACCCATGGCGAAACCCCAGGATGGATCAATGAAGCGAGCGGAGTAAGTGTAGAAACCACCGGAAACGGGGTACATAACAGCGAGTTCACCGAGAGCGTAGACTGCAAGTCGTGTCAGTTTTGCTTGCGTGCGCAAAACAAGTGTGATCTCTACATACCGACGTTGAAGATCATTATACCCATGATTGAGAAATCAATGAGGAGCGTGGCAGGGCCCTGAGTAATTGTAAGTCCATATCCAGAAGTGACCGCATACTGTGCAACTTACACCCCTGGAAAGAGCACCACCGGAACCGACGAAGAAACCAGCACCGATGGAACCACCGATGGCAATCATGTGAAGAT